GGGATCTGGTTTTGTCTTCTGCGCATGTATGTCAAGCATTGTGACTTCAGAACGATGCCACACTACTCTTTCACCCCTCTCTGTCCCTGACTAGTTTCTTTATTTTGTTCCACTGGTTTAGTGTCGATGCTTGAATTGCTATGGTTTTGTAGCATTTCTCTCTGGCTTTTGTTTTTGTTTTGAGATGCTGGGAGTAGACAAATTCTCTACCACTGATTACACCCACAGTCCCTGCAGTATGTTCTAAAGTCCAATGTCATGGTGCCCTCAGCTTTACTTATTTATTTTATTTTGCTATTTCCCCTCAAGATTTTTTTAGTTATATTCTGGGTTTCCAGAGTACTGAGATTAAAGGCATGTGCCACTATTTCAGGCATAAAGTTTTTTTTTAATTCATCTATTGGTGAGTATGAAAAGAAACATTTTTCTGGATATGTTTTATTTTAGAGCTTTACATTTAAATCATGCTGTGTTTAGAGATCTAGTTGAGAGGCTGGAGAAATGGCTCACTAGTTAAGAGCTCTGGGTGCTCTTCCAGAGGACCTGTCTCTACTCACAGAACCCATAACAGCGGTTCATAGCCATCACTAGCTCCAGTTCCAGGGCATCTCACGCCCTCTTTTGGCCTCCATGGGCATTGCATGCACCTGCTGCACAGACATACAAGCAGGTAAAACACCCACACACATAAGATAAATAAATAATTTAAAAATTCTCTAGAATATATGTGTATTATGTATTTGAAGACAAAGTTAAAAATAACTACTACACTTGATGGTAACTGGAAGGTGCATCATACACTAAATTGGTAAGATGATTGATAACACATACCAAAGCACTAACCTGAGTAACTTTATAGCACAGTAACTGCACACACATGGGAGATATTTATTATAAGGACAAAACAGAATTGCAAGAAAATCCCACGCTTCATTGTCAATTTTACTAGTAGTGATTTCAATGTTATTAGATTGAAATAACTTAGTGAGTATTGTATTAATAAGTTAAATGATTATGTTTATGTTGTTAGGAACCAAGCTGTTGAATGTAAATACAAAATCAAAGAAGTTAAATGTTTAATTGCAAACTGAATTAAGAGTGTCTACAAAAATATGGCATTCACACCTCTTATTTAAAATCTATTTCAAAGTTACAGAAAAGTTGTAAGATAATACAAGTTAAATTAATTCTACCATTTTCTAGATTAATCTTGTGTGTGTGTGTGTGTGTGTGTGTGTGTGTGTGTGTGTGTGTGTGTGTGTGTGTTTTGTAGGTTTGTGTGGTATCTTCACATGAGTGTGCAGGTTTGTGCACATCTCTCTGTATTCATATGTGCAGGCCAGAGCAGGATGTCTGCCTTGTTTCCTTGGGACAAGATCTCTCACTGAACTGCAAGCTTGCCTTTTATGCTAGACTTACTGGTTAATGAGCTGTTGAGATCTGTCTGTTTCCACCCCCCCCCCCCAAAGCTGGGATGGGTGGCAGACATGTGCAGAAGTGCTCAGTTTCTTACTTGGATACTAGGGGTTCAAGCTCAGCTCTCCATAATTGCTGAGCAATCATTCTTACTCAGTGAGCCATTTCCCCAGCCCCAGATTACCTTCAACATTTTGCAGCCTTATCATTTGTTAGGTCTGTCCACAAATGGGGACACACATATGTGGGGTTGAGTGTGTGTGCATACACAATTTTTCTTAAGCAATTGATAGTAAGATGCATACATCACAGTTGAGTATGTACTTCTAAGCATCAAATTATTCTTTTCCATAGAGTTATCAGGCTCATAAACTTGATGTTAACCTAATAATTCTATTTGTTCTACTACTCATGGCTAAGTGTGTCAGTTGGCACAAGAATGTCCTCTCAGGTGGTTTTGATTCTGTGGCAAACAAGCAGCAGCATTTAGCCATTATGTCTCTGGATCCTGAGCATTTTTTGATTCACAGTGATGGCCAAGAATGATCAGCTCCTCTCATACACTGTTTGCTTTGTGTCTTCCACTTATGAAACACTGGGCTTTAGCTTTATTTTGTCACACATAACACAGTCTTTGAGGAACTGTTAAATCAATTACTTTTTATGTGGAGTTTGATGCTTTTTGTGATTACACTTAAGATTTTGCATTCCTGGCTAGAATATGAAACACACACATATGCACATGTGTACTTACATGCTTCTCTGCAGAAAGTGCTAGTCCATAAGGCTCCAGGGACAATAGAAATGACTCCTCTTGCCCAAATAGAGTCCTCCCCACCCAATTCCACTCCCCATCACAAGTACCAGAGAGTTTTTGAGTACTATTTTCTTCCCATCTAGAGTAAAAAATTTACAACAGCTTCTGATGCTCCACAGAATAATACAGCTCTCAAAATCTTAGCCACATAAGAAAGACTGTGGACCAATGTGAAGGAGAACCCACTGGGGCAGCTCTCATGGCAATAGAAAAACACCTGTGATTTCTCACTATTCACTGACTGTAAGGATCCATGGACTGCAGCATTACGCCTCTCCCCATCCCAACACAACAGCATGGGGTACTGTTTGAGGTCCAACCTGCTTTGTGCCCTTTTTCTGAACAGTTGAGCAAGTTTTGCTTTTCTGAAAGTACTCAGCCTCTTCAAGATCCAGTTCAGATGCCTGATCCCTTGAGAAGTCTTTTCTCAAGAACGGGGTATTCTTTTTTGTTTTTTGTTTTTTTGTTTGTTTGGGGTTTTTCTGAGACAGGGTTTCTCTGTGTAACTTTGGAGCCTCTCCTGGATCTCACTCTATAGCCCAGCTGGCCTCAAACTCACAGAGATCCACCCGCCTCTGCCTCCTGAGTGCTGGATTAAAGGTGCGCACCACCGCCCGGCAAGGACAGGGTATTCTTAATTATAGGCTCACTGTAGACGCCTCTTGAACATGCCTGTCAATACTGTACTCAGATGGCTTGCCTCGCTGTGTTTTCATCTCTAGATTAGAGGTTTATACATGCAGAAACTGTCTGGGTTGTTTCTATTTTGTTTGGAGCAATGTTTGATATACATGTAAAGACAGTGTTATGTAAGTTATCATTGTGAAGAAATGGATCAATTTCAATGAAACCCTCTGCTGCTTCTTGATAACACAACACAGATGTATCTGTATCTTACCTATTTTTACATTTATTGACTTGTTTATTACTTATTGTGTCATGTGGAGTGACGTGCACGTGTGGAAGTCAGAGGACAACCTGCTCTCTCACCGTCATACGGGGTCCGAGGTCGGAACTCTGGTCGTCAGGTTTGGAGGCAAGCCCTTCTTCTTGATGAGCTATCTCATTGACTCCGGATTTGTCAACATTTTAGATAAATTCTAGGTCACTTTGGTCCACAGTCTGTAATGCAACAGTGCAACGAGACCTGATGATGTAGTGCACTCACACGAGAGCTGATGATGTAGTAGTGCACTCACAGGAGACCTGATGTGGTGCACTCACAGGAGACCTGATGTAGTGCACTCACACGAGAGCTGATGTAGTGCACTCACAGGAGACCTGATGTAGTGCACTCACAGGAGACCTGATGTAGTGCACTCACAGGAGACCTGATGTGGTGCACTCACAGGAGACCTGATGTAGTGCACTCACAGGAGACCTGATGTAGTGCACTCACAGGAGACCTGATGTAGTGCACTCACATGAGACCTGATGATGTAGTAGTGCACTCACACGAGACCTGATGTGGTGCACTCACTCACACGGGACCTGATGTAGTGCACTCACAGGAGACCTGATGTGGTGCACTCACAGGAGACCTGATGTAGTGCACTCACTCACACGGGACCTGATGTAGTGCACTCACACGAGAGCTGATGTAGTGCACTCACAGGAGACCTGATGTAGTGCACTCACAGGAGACCTGATGTAGTGCACTCACATGAGACCTGATGTAGTGCACTCACATGAGACCTGATGTAGTGCACTCACTCACATGAGACCTGATGTAGTGCACTCACTCACACGGGACCTGATGTAGTGCACTCACATGAGACCTGATGTAGTGCACTCACACGAGAGCTGATGTAGTGCACTCACAGGCCAACCGTGAGTCCAAATTCTCCCACAACCTCTTTCACTGTGAATCTCTTATGAACACGTGCACATATCCAGTTTCTTATCTTATGGACTTGTGTGCCAACAACAGTTTAGGTAATAAGAGAAGGTGGTAAGTCATCTAGTAAAGACACGCGGTATCACACTCCAGTGTGCAGAAGTCTCTCAATTGCAGTTAATGGGATATTTTAAACAGGGGTATAGGGATGTGGTTAGACAGGGGCTTAGTGGTTGATCTGTATTTTGGTGGGCGGTCTCCCTCCTCACCAAGACTGCAGGACTGAGCTGTTGGAAAAGGCTTCAGGCTTGAGAATGCAGAAAGGAGGCCCCCCGGAGCTGGCCGAGGTGCTGAAAACGTCCCAGTCAGAGCGTGGGAAGCAGCCAGAGGCTTCTATGCTCTCAAAACTGTCTTCTCAATTTTTTAGATGTGGGCTCCCAGATCTGGACAGCAGATGCACGGGCCGTTCTCAGAAGAATCTTTATAATATAGGAATTCCCTGAGATTCATTCCTACCGGATAAGGACACCCCCTCGCCCCCGCAGCAACCACGAAGTAAAGCAGCCCTTATTAATTTATTGAATGGTTCATGTATCTCTAAAGCTTAGCTTCCACTCACAATGATCCTCATGCTGTCTATAATTTTACAAAGAAACAGCAGCAAACCAAAGTTCCGGAGGTTGGAGATCTTGCCAGAAAAAAAAAAAATCACAGCTTCTGAATAGCTGATCTCTCCAAATCATGCTTTTTAAAAACACTTAAGTTTACTGGGCACAATCGACATGCGCCAGGTTCGCAGCATTAGCTGCTTCTGCTCCTGCACTTACTACCCACTTTTCCCTGTGCTGGGTCCTATGGCATTCCCGTCCTGCCCCTAGTTTACATCTGGTAAAGGTGACACTCATGCTTATTCAGCGTGCCCCTTCCCCACACCCACTCAGAGGGATGGGATTTAGGACCCGGGCTTTTGCACACTTGTGGAGTGAACCAGCTCTGGTCTTGTTCTATGACCTCAGTCTAGGCAACATGCTTCTGGTTTTAAAATCCGGGGGCGAACCCGAAGGTGTGTTCTAAGATTGCGAGAGGCTCTTCCCAGGTGCACGCTGTCCCTTCTGATTTGAACACAAATAGCTTCTGTTTCCCCCTCTACCCTCCCTTCTCCATCATAGACACGCTCCTTTTTTTCTCCCCACCCGGAGCATAACCAATTCGACCCCCTGTGGAGGAAGGACTTGATCCCGCTGCGGAAGGCATCCTTCTTCTCTCTACGCCACTAAGGTCTCCTCCACCCTTCACTACTCTACCCGAATGACCTGTCCTTCCCGGCCACCCTAGCGCCCAGGGCTGGGGAGAGGAGCCCTCACACTCCGCTTTGCAGCGCCTGTCTTCTGCAGAGCCCACGCACTGGGACGCTGTGGGGAGTACGACATGCTGCTGGGGCGAGATCCCCAGTGCCAGGCAGTGCTGCCGGCTCTGCTCGGGTGACAGGTAAGTGACTGTTTGCGCGGTCTGAGGCTGGTTTCGGAGACAGGGACTGTAAGGAAGAGAGTGGGAAGGGGAAGGAGAGATGGGGAGGGAGGGAGGGAGGGAGGGAGGGAGGGAGGGAGGGAGGGAGGGAGGGAAAGTGGTAGAGGCGCGCAGTCGGTCACTTTCTTTCTTTCACCTCTAATGCCCCCACCCCATCCCACCTTCTCCCTAGGCTTCCCATTCTTTTTCGTCTCCAAGCATCCTTCCTGCACACCGCTGTCGCCTATTTCTCCCTCGCACTCTCCCGCGCGTAAGGGGACCTCCTCGGGGACCAGATCTAGGCGAGGTTGCGACCCGACCCCAAGCCTAGCAGCATGTGGAACGCGACGCCCAGCGAGGAGCCGGAGCCTAACGTCACTCTGGACCTGGACTGGGACGCTTCCCCCGGCAACGACTCGATGACGGACGAGCTGCTGCCGCTGTTCCCCGCGCCGCTGCTGGCGGGCGTCACGGCCACCTGCGTGGCGCTCTTTGTGGTGGGCATCTCGGGCAACCTGCTCACCATGCTGGTGGTGTCCCGCTTCCGCGAGCTGCGCACCACCACCAACCTCTACCTGTCCAGCATGGCCTTCTCCGACCTGCTCATCTTCCTGTGCATGCCGCTGGACCTCGTCCGCCTCTGGCAGTACCGGCCCTGGAACTTTGGCGACCTGCTCTGCAAACTCTTCCAGTTCGTCAGCGAGAGCTGCACCTACGCCACGGTCCTCACCATCACCGCGCTGAGCGTCGAGCGCTACTTCGCCATCTGCTTCCCGCTGCGGGCCAAGGTGGTGGTCACCAAGGGCCGCGTGAAGCTGGTCATCCTTGTCATCTGGGCCGTGGCCTTCTGCAGCGCGGGGCCCATCTTCGTGCTGGTGGGCGTGGAGCACGAGAACGGGACCGACCCTCGGGACACCAACGAGTGCCGCGCCACTGAGTTCGCGGTGCGCTCTGGGCTGCTCACGGTCATGGTGTGGGTGTCCAGCGTCTTCTTCTTCCTGCCGGTCTTCTGCCTCACCGTGCTCTACAGTCTCATCGGGAGGAAGCTGTGGCGGAGGCGCGGCGATGCGGCGGTGGGCGCCTCACTCAGGGACCAGAACCACAAGCAGACGGTGAAGATGCTTGGTGAGTCCTGCCAGGCGGCCTTTCTTCCTCCCTTGCTTCCCCTTCTCCAGGGTCCTCTATTTTCTGTTTCTCACCATCTCCGTGTGCCCATGCCTCACAAGTCTCTCTCTGCCCCCCAGTTCTTGGTCTCAGTTACTGTTTTCCTCTTTCTTCCTCTTTCTCTTCCTGTATCCTCTCTTCTCCACGAAAAAGCTCACACTGGCAATTCCTTAAAATGATTATTACTCGGGAAACTTGCTTCAAGATGGAAATACCTCATCACCTTTTTCTGAGGTCTCTAAGTGTTGGAGGTGAGGTTCAGCTTCCTGCCTCACATAGAATTTGTGGCTATCAAAGTAACATTACAACCAGCAGGTAGGCATCAGATTTAGAAATTACTCCGTGGTGAGTTTAACCAAAAAGTTGGATAACTCTGTTTATAGATGTGTTTTGTTTGCTTTCAATACTGGGGTTTGTTTTCTGCCCTGCATCTTTCTCAGATAATTGCATCAACTCCGTTAATTCAGCCTCTCTAAGGCTTTGAAAGGGGGAGAGCTCGGGCCTCCTTCTGCTGTTCTGATTACCTGTCTCCCCACCTTTCCTCAAGTTGTGTCTCAGGAACCTCTGGGCACAGGCTCACAGCTGGGTGTACTGAATGATTCACATAGAGTCCATCTCCCTAAAGGCACTTGGTGCAGTAAAGTCATGAAGACTGCTCATGTCCAAGAGGAACATCTGCTCTCACTTTCTCAAGACATTTCATGTTTATTGGCATTTAATATTTCTTAGTTTTTGCAGAATGATTTCCTATTTGCAATTTTATTATTCTCAAATTCTACATATCAAAATGATAGCGCTTTCTCCAGGGATGTCAAATTTTGTTTCCCAGAGCAGGATTATGCTGATAGGGAGGATAGATTATCAGTAAGTCTCCTGTATCCTCCATGGGACTGCCAGTAAGTCTCCTGTGTCCTCCACGGGACTGGGACTGTCAGTTCACACTCACTGAAGAGAGGGCCACAGTGCTGCTATGGCATGTTAGCTTTTCTTGTGTGACTTAGTCCTAAGTTGAAGCTACTAACTCCCTCCAATTTCGTAAGCTCTTCATTTCCCCATTGGTATCTCGATGTCAATGCCCATTGTCTTCTTTCAGGACAATTTGAAGGGGATCATTAAAGGGTACAAGGACCACAATATTATTTTCTCTCAATTCTGAATTTAAAAACTTAATCTAAAAATTTAGAATTCTTGAAGAAAGTATCTTCATGTGCAAAATGAAGCCTTGAATGGGTGGTAATTAATGTTGGTCGGCTTAACAATCCCTTATGCTTTATTTATATCTATTATAGATGACATAAACTTGTTTTCTCAGTGGTTACTAATCCCAATTGCATATTCAGTCCCCTGTAAAACTTATTTTAAAAATCTGGGCATAATAGTCCATGAAACATAACAAAACCTTGTCCTAAAAATGGAAAAAAGAAAGGGGGAAGACAGGAAAAGAAAGAAAAAGAGGGCCCTTTCCCCCTTCCCTTCCCTAGATAATTTAATTTAATGAGTTTGTATTATAACCAAGAAATCTGCATTTCTTAAGCATGCCCAAGAAGGTGCTGGGGCTATTGCTTAGTGGTAGAGTACTTACAGGGCATGCTTAATCCCAGCATGAAGGGGGAGAAGTTTTCCTGGGAATTCTGACCCATGCTGTGGTTGAGTACAGACACCTTGTCTTATTTATATTTGTGTTCTGTGTAATGCATATAAATGGAGGGTAATCTTTAATCAGTTGTTTAGTTGAGTCATTATATCAAGTCAAGCACAAAGTCGAGTAGTTATCAAGTAGGAAGACTGGGAGGATGGGTGAAGATTGTTTAGCCGTTGGACTCACTGCATGTCAAAGTGTCAGGATAGACGGGGGTGGGGGGGTGGGGGGGGTGGGCAGAGCAGTGTTTATGTGAGGAGGAGGATGTCATGTTTTCCCATGTTAACAGTAACACAGGATGTTTGTCAGTGGGCATGCTACTCATGGAAAAAACAAAGCCAAGACTTAAGAATGTGAAGTGGTTGGTGACATGCCTCACACTGATGATCTCTTGCTCTGTGCCTTCAGCTGTGGTGGTGTTTGCCTTCATCCTCTGCTGGCTGCCCTTCCATGTGGGAAGATACCTGTTTTCCAAGTCCTTCGAGCCGGGCTCTCTGGAGATTGCTCAGATCAGCCAGTACTGCAACCTTGTGTCCTTCGTCCTCTTCTACCTCAGCGCTGCCATCAACCCCATTCTGTACAACATCATGTCCAAGAAGTACCGGGTGGCAGTGTTCAAGCTTCTGGGGTTTGAATCCTTCTCGCAGAGAAAGCTCTCCACTCTGAAGGATGAAAGCTCTCGGGCCTGGGCAAAGTCGAGCACCAACACATGACAGCACATCGAAGCTTCAGTCATTGCTTACTGCTCCATACCAGAAGCCATAGCCAAGCAGGACTTGGGAGGAAGCGGAAAGTCAGTTTAGGATTAGAGACACATGGATCTGGAAACAATTGGGGGCGGGCAGTAAAGCCAGAAGGGTAGGGTCTGTGCAGTTTGAGCTGATTGTGCACTCATCAGAGTGCTCATGTGCCATCCCTGCACACTGTCTCTATGATTTGGACAGCTTTTCCACTCAGAGGAAGGAGGAGACAAGACTGGGCACCGGCTTTCCTTCTTAGTGGGTAAACACTAACCTCATTTGCTTTTCTCATCATCATAAAAATGAAATAACATCACACACAACTTTAGACATGACTTTTCAAAGCTAGCAATCTCCACAAAGCTCCACAACATTCACCCAAAGCACCATAACATAAGGCACACATGTGATCAATATGAAACGATTGAGAAATCTCCATTCTCCCCGCCCCCACAGTAATTCTGAAACCTAGTATGCTCCTTACCAAGCAGCCCGCTTGAAGTTGAACAGTTAGTTCCATTAGTAATATTTGATGTATTTAATTTGATCATAGAAAAACTGATTCAACAGCTTAAATTTCATGAGTACAATGAAAGCTTTTAAGTAACATAATTTACTGTTTTTTTTTTAATTCAAAGTTAATTAAAATAAGCAATTCAGTTCTTCAGTTGTAGTAGGTACATTTCAAGTGTTCAATAGACCAATGTGGCTAGTGGTTATCATACCAAGCAGACACTCCAGAGTGCATGAAACATAATTATTAATCTCATATAAAATGTTTAAAAATAAGCACCTGTCCCTGTCAAATGTTTTTAAATAGTATATTAGTATAGCAGGATTTTAGAGTAACAAATGTTAAGGTCACACCTAATGCTCTATCTTCATGGTGGAAGAGAATGGAATACATTTTAAAATTAAATCACATGTTTTAAAATAAGTTTAATTGCATGCATCAATTCAGGAAGTGAAATATTGTAAAAAACCATAGACTGCCTTCTTTGACTTAATATGTAAGCTAATTATAAGCCTTTCATTTGTGGATAGGTAATTATCATTTATTCTGGCCAGCTTATAGTAACCTAAAGAGTATCAAAAACTTTCAAATAGTGAAGGCAGGCTCATAATTTCCCCAACATTTATGCTTATTTCTACTAAAAATTTATTTAAAAATTTCAATCGTTTCTTTCAACTTGTTCCTGCCATGTCCTATCTCCAAGGTGGTCTTGCTATTAACACCTCGCTGCTCAGTGATAGACACAGTCAATGTATTTCTAGTTTCATTCTTAGTCATAATTATGAATGAGTACACCTTTCAATAAATACTGTGCATTTTAGCTATAAAGATTAAATTTCATTTCTAAAGACACTACTTTCTATATGGTCAGCTGGATGATCTCAGTCCATCCTTCCAGAATGATTGCTTCCATTCTTCTGTGACTACTGTCAAGTGAGCAGCTCCTATGGAAGGACTGGTTAGGCCATTTAAGGAAGTTAATGTCTTGCACTTAAAAGAAAAGGTTATTATGCTGAAGTAATGGAGTGCCTACTTGCTTTGGAAACATCAAAAAACAAGCATAATTAGAATTACTTTTAAAGAAATATTTCTGAAACCCATGTGGACATGCAACTCACTCTAAACACCTCACGTTACCAAGTTGACTGTTGAGTTAATTCTTAGGAGTGCATCAGCGAGCACACACTGATGCATTCAGTTCCATGAGATACTGATTAGTGCATTTAGCACCCATCTCCTCAATAGCGCTCAGTAAATTAAAAAGAGGGATTTCAGCTTCCTGACACAGTTTCTCTATAAATACACCACACTTGAGAGGAAACAAGTTTTCAAAAAAGAATGTTTATCACTGTTTTGGAGTGAAACAAGCCTGATGAGTTGCTTAGTTTCTTCAGTGGTCCCATCTCTGTGCTCTATGACGGGCGTCTTCAACTCACATCTGAGGAGTGGACTACAGAGCAAGGGCCACTGTGTTTCCCACTGGTTCACCTGGGAAGTGAAAATCCTTTATTTAGAGAAAGGAATCTTTAATTTGTCCACTCCAATCATTACTTTCTTTTGTTACTTGCAAGTTCTTTATGTTATTACATTCTATGTATCGTTCAAGACTCAGGGCAAAAGAAAACTACCCTGGAGAAAGTTGTGTGGGAAAGCCTACCGTTTCCCACACTTGGTACGTGCCCTCTATGTCTGAGCTCTGAGAAATTAACAAGCCAAAGATTTTCTTATTCTTAGTGATTTCACAATCATCTGCATGTTGTGCTGTGGGTAATGGATAAAGAGATTTGAATTATGAAGTAGATATCTCTAGTAGGCAAATATCAAAGTCCCCACCACAGGACTGCAATGGGCCGTTCATCACACTGAGGTACTGTGTTCTTGGCTCCAAGTATGTTTGAATGGGCTGGCACTACAATATTTGTAGACGGAGCTGATGTGTCTGCTGGTGGGAACCATGCTGAGGCATTCAGAAAGGCAAGAAGCACGCTTCTCTTTTTGGTCCTGGTTTCCATGGCCCTGGTTACCCAGCAGTCAGCTTTCTGCCACACTTGGGCAGTGTCCAAGTCAAGGTCATTGTCTTCAGTATAGGACGAAACTGCTATATGAGCAGGAGCTTTCTAAATAATCACTTTAAACATTCATGCCCATCAATTATTTTAAATTGGAAGTTCTATCAGGGTGTGGTGGTGCATATTCATAACCCCAGCTCCAGGAAGCTGAGGCAGGAGGATTACCACTAGTTCAAGGTCTGCCAGAGTTGTCTAGTGAGTTCCATCACAGCCTGGGATGCAGAGTGATGCATTTCAACAACAACAACAAAAAACAAATATTAATGTTTAAAACCTGTGATGAGGAAGTTTAGAAAGACCAGTGCAGCCTCCAGCTAGGAAAAACACTCCACAGTGACCTTCGGGTGCAGAGGTGGCTGAGGTGACGAGATCACACTCAATCTGGTGTTTTTTTCTTCATGCAAATACTTTTGTTAACTACTTAAGATAGTGACAATTTTGGGTTCAACATGAACAGTTTTAGCTCATCTTTTTTTATTTATCCATATACTTGAATTTAATATTTTAAAAAACTGTGAGATTTTGTGCAAGACTGGTGCCTACACTCTTTTGTCTTTTAAAGAACAGTGTGTACCTCTTTAAAACATTGCGTAATATTTACATATGCAAGATGTGCTGGTCACCATGTGTAAGCTAATAGTCATTCTGTTATCAGAACCACTGTATCTAGTGTAAACAACAGCATTCAAAGAAAGAGGTGATGTCCTTGAAGACACCACGTCTAACATGGTGGTTAGCTAATGGGTCCCCTGTGATTTCTCTGCAGCTTAAACTGTGACAGTAGCTGGCACGTACAACGACAAGCTGCAGAGATGATTGGTGACAAATGGTCGCTGAGTCAACTGGGAACCTAATGTTCATTAATTTACTTATTTTTTAACAGAAAATAAACTGCTATTCAAATCAACAGAAAGCTGCACAGTCTGCATCCTGAGCAACAGACTCCCAGCATTAAGCTCATGTCACTTCCCAATCAGACTTCCTCCGATCCAGTCATCCAGTCCTTTGCAATAATCTAAATGTGAAGCAGTTGAGGAGGAGGGGTCTGCTGGGGCTTATTTTTGTGGATTTCCTACTGAACTCAGACTTTTTCAGGATGCTGGAGGCTAGCTAATGAGGCCAACATCATCGTCTTGTTTTAAATGGTCTGTGTTTATGCCTCTGCTATTGTTTACCTACTTACTGGAATTTCCATAAATATGTCATGCCTTTATGGTACATACCTTTGCTCAAAGGACTGACTGCCAGCTACTCCCAAATCTGGCAAAAAAGGAAAAAACCTCTACCGTAAGAAAATGTTCCTCATGAAAATGGCCAGAAAGTTCTGCCAAAATATCACAAATGTCCTCTCTAGGCCCCTCTCCCCGGCCCCCACCAGACATAGAAAGCACTCGGGGGAAACAGCTTGAAAGATACCCATGGTTTTAACAACTCAAACCCAAATCACAGATGTAGCTCAATCCACAAAAATATTTGTAATTTTCACATTTAGTGTAGTGGATTTAATGTACTAGAAAACACTTGTTGGTGTGACTATTGCTAAACACTGTAGCGTTATCAGTAAAATATGATATCCTAGACACTACTGTACTTGGTCCCTGTATGTCACCACAGCATACCAGAAATGTCACTGGGGGTATTTTGGCTTCTTTCTTCGAAGGTTTTTGTACATGTTAGCTAAGACTTCGCTGTAGCTCTCATATATCTGTCTCACAGAATTTGCAATCCCTTTCCTTGGATATAATAACCAATAACTGCTTAATAAAATATCTTTTTAAAGCATGTAGTATGTTCGTTAACAGTTATGAGCCTGTGAGTCACTCTCCTGCCTGCTGGTCCTGGTTTACTTCTGTTTTGTCTTTTACATTTCTAAGATGGCAACTTTAAGGAGCTGTCCGTTGTAGTGGGCTGTTTCTCTCAGGGTTTCAGTGTTTGATAAGAAGCCTTGGATCCAATTTGTGTAAATATTCAGAAGAGCAGAGGACCTTGAGAAGGACTGTGATTCCATACTCACCACTTTTCAAGCTCTTCGGGCTTGTCCCCCAAAGCCATGTGCCCTGTGTGGTTGACCTGTGAGCCAAAGATCTCAAGCCCTTCCAGGCAGGGACAGAGCCCCCAATCCTCTTTCACTCAGCAGCTACTCACTTATGTTGGTCAGATGGGAATTCAAAGGCTGAATCTGCACCAGCCAGGCACTGGATTCCAGACATTTGTATCCCAGGAGCCAGAAAACAGAGCTAAAATTAGAGAACTCATTAACATCATCAATTTTCATTTGCTAATTACAAGGTATTGGAGTAGTCTACTACCCCAACAGTGACCATCCTTAGTTTGGGTCTCTTTCCAGAACAGATTCTAGGGTGATCTACAAGTGCCAAGCATCCCTTGCTTGCTGGATCATAGCTCGCAAGGAGCTATGATCTAATGTCCTTCAAGGAGTCACACAACACATCACAAATCAGTACCCAGCTCCCAGAACAGCTTGAGAGTCTGTGCAACAAGCTTCCAAATTGTGCATTTCCTCTGATGGTCATTTCTCATCAACACAGGATTGTGGAGAAACACAAAAACTAATCTATAGAGGAAGCAGACAGTGGTGGGTACATCAGAGTACCTGGAAAACCAATCTGTCCACAAATAAGAATCAACAATTTAGAGCAATGATGAATGTCTTCATTTATGAGACACCGGTGCTAAAGGTCTGAAATTAATTTTCTTATAATTTCCCCAACATACACAGGAAGAAATTCTTCTCTTATCCCTACCAGAAGAAGGAGAGGGAGGGGGGAGGAGGAAGAGGTGAAGGGAGAGGAGGAGGGGGAGAGGAGGCTGAGATTAAGATTGGAGGAGATGTGCCTGCAGCCACTGAGACAAGAGAAGTTTTGACACACTGCCAGGAATAGCAGTATAGCAAATCTGCAATTTGATACCAGATTGGTAAGACTTGAGTCCCCTCATTTTCCTCACATCTTTTATTTAAATTTATTCTTATTTATGCATATATGTGTGTGGGAGTGGGTATATGCACTCAAGTGCAGGTTCCCACAGAGGCTAGAAGAGGCTGTCAGAACCCCTGTAGCTGGATTACAGGTAGTTGTATGGCATCTCTGTGTGCGGAGAACTTACATCCTCTGAAAGGTCAACAAGCACTCTTAGCTGCTGAGACATCATCTCTCCAGCACACCCTATTTCCCAGGTTAGAGTATCTCATAGACATGAAAAACAAACAAACAAAAAATGATACTGTAAAATAATTTTCACAACATGAGTAAGCTTATTGTCTCATCTTAAAGAAAAATATATTTGAAGAGGACTGAAAAAATATATTAACATGTTAATGCTTTGTATGACATTTGGTGAAAAATGTCTTCTGTTTTCTCATGGTTCCCAACATTTCTTTCTAATTTTTTCCCATCACAAATTCAGGGTTGTTAAAATTAAATTTGGAGGCTAGTTGTACTGGCTAGGTTTTATATCAACTTGACATAAACTAGCTCCTTAACCTTCTGCTACTCATGGAGGCAGTAGTCACCTATCAGTATTCATTACATAGTCACAGTTACTATTTTGCCACTTAGCAAAGGACAAGGTAGCTCCATTTGAGCCCCATCTCTGTCCATGCTCTGGTACCTAGAACATTTCACTAACCATCTAGAGTTCCAACTGACCCCAACCAGGCAGAGGCTTCCCAGCCACCTTATTGATGGGTTGTGGCACTTGAGAGAGGTGAGTGAAAGCAGCTGCAAGCCCAGCCAGGCCTGGGAATTGCTCTGGCTGAGATATTGACCACATACTGGCAAGCTTGCCAAAACGCAACAGATAGAGGAGGTGAGAGAGAAGGCTCCCTGGGGCTCCCCGACGAGCCAGCCTAGAATAACCAGCGAGCTCCAGGCCAATGAGCGACCCTGGCTCCGAAATAAGTGGATGTCACCTGAAGGACGACACCTGGGATTGACCTCTGGCTTACACACACACACACACACACACACACACACACACACACACACACACACACACATACACACACAGAGAGAGAGAGACAGAGAGACAGAGACAGAGACAGAGAGACAGACACCGAGAGAAAGACAGAGAGACAGAGAGACAGAAACAGTGGTACATATGTACTTGCGTAGCGATATACCTTTCAGAAATCATTTGCATCCTCTACCAGTAGACACAGTTACCTTTATTTCTGGATGAAAATATAATTTTAGGCTCAGGAGGATGTGGAAGAAGATAGAACCTTGTGAACATCCTGGATCCTTGGCAGCACATCTCTATGCACATCCCCTTGTTCACTACGTAGCCTGATCAATGCTTTAGAACCTGTCTTGAACAATTTCTTCCACTTAGAGTCTGACCTTCAGAAAGAAGGCTCATGTAGTATGCACTGACTTTGAAGACAGACAGTTGATTCTATGTGCAGCTTCACTACTGACCAACCAACCACACGACACTACATAATCACTTAACACCAGACTCTCCATGCCCCAGACTACTTGAGGGCACAGTGGGAATGCCTAAAGTGCCAGTGTTACCAGAGTCAAACATCTTAATCCAGAAATCTAGCCACACCCACACTGACTCTCTTTCCTAACAATTTATTATGCTGTCTCCAATACATTATTTCCAGTTTGGTGTTTTGCTTTGTTTTTAGACAGTCACACTATGTAGCCTATGTTAATCTCAAACTCAGCCTCCTAAATTCTGGGACTGCAGGAGTACACCATAATGCTGAGCCAGTTTGCAATTTCAATCTTCTTTATAGAAGATCAAAACTCTAAGCCATGTATGCAGAATTCTCCCATGGTTTTTGGACCTTCCTCATCCCAATGTTTACAGTAACTTCACCTCCATCTGTCAGTGGACTATTCACTGGCTTGTATTTGTGGACTCTTTCCAAAGAATTCAGCAGTTTTGAGAGAAACTGAATTTGGTATTGCAATTACGTTTATCAGTTTAGGTGCATTTTAAGTAAGTAGTCACAATAATGAGTATGGTTTGGCTCACACAGGTTGATGGAGCAGAAGTGTTTGGGCGTGTTACAGTGTGGACTTGTGACACATGGCGTAGCATGGCCTGAACATCTGCCAGAGTCCCTGAGATGCTGCACAGAAAGTGTTGAACACCAGTGACCTGCGTCAGAGTGCTTCTTATCCCTATGCATGAGCACTGAGAGCAGAGAATTGTTGGTCTCTAGAAATGAATAAATCCAAGTCCATAGCAAACTACTATATACTTTATAAATGCTGAAAGAGAGGAGTGTGATGCTTCCCAACACAAAGAGATGTTAAGTGTTCCTAAGGGGAGACAAATGCTGCCTAGCTCAATTCGGTTATTACTTGTTGCACACATGCCTCAGATTATCATGCTGCACCCCGTTAATATGTACAATTCTTACATGTCAGTTAAAAGTAGTACCAAGTAAAACTGTTGAAGAGAATAAATCTGGCACTGGAAATGTAGCTCAGTTGGTAGATGGTTTGCCTAGCTTGGAAAACGCCCTGGATTTGGTACCCAGTGTTGCACAAACCCACTTTGGTGGTGATCATTTGTAATCCCAGCACTGGGGTGCTAGAAGCCAGAGGATCAGAAGCTCAAGGTTATTTGGGGGTTCAGAGTAGGTATGAGGCCAGCTTGAATTACACAAGAACGTGTCTTTTAAAAACAAAACAAATAAAGAAAGGAAATAAACAAAAGAATAATTGTGTTAGATACTGCCTAAACTAACCAGAAGTCTTGGCAGCTTCATACTGTGGATCCGCTTTTGGACATGCTGAGCTGAGACAGTTTTTAACAGGGTGACAGGGAATCCACTCTGCATGTGACAGGGGACCCCTGATGTCCAGGCACCTCATCCAGTTTGCACTGGGCTTGGACCCTCTCAGTGTTAGAGGACAGAGCATCAGTCTGGAGTAAGCTGGGGTAAGGCCATTACATCGCCACGGAGTTGTTTCTGGCTTCTGCTACATCTGTACAGGGCCCCAGATCTTAGCACCTCTGACTCCATGATGGAAGTGTCATTCAGGCTGTAAAACTCAGCATGTGGACAGCACCACTTGCCAAAACTAAAACAAAGGCCTCATCTATCAAAGCCCACAGAGTTCTGGGAAAGTCTCAAAATGTACTAACCTTGCTTTTTAGCTTTTGTAGTTCCAATTCTGGCTAACTGTTCTTTTTAACTGAAATGTATCAACCCAGTAGTCGCTGGCTGGCTAATAGAGAGTTTCTCTTGACTTAACCCATGTCCGAGCAGTCGTCCCTGGTGAATACCCCACAACAAATCTAGCAGCCCAAGAGGTTCACTCGTGTTCGGGGTTCTCTCTTTAACCCATCAGCTAAACCCCATCTCTCTGTGTCTCTGGGAAATTAAAGTCTTCTCTAAGGACAGAGGGGGAGGCCCTTACAAGTGACTCTGAGGCTGTGGCCAGGCAATGCTCACTTCATCCCAGGTAGGGCTTATGTGTGATGGTGTTACTGCTCCCTTTAGACAGGATGACGTCAGCAGGCTGACAGACACTATGGTCAATGGGAAAATTATAGCTAGTGTATCTATGGAGTAATAGCAGGAAACAGAAGTTGGACAGCCTTGCTCAGGAAGAAAATCTGTTACAATGGCAACAGGCTTTTAATTTTTCTGATAAATCTAATAATCTCTCTCTCTCTCTCTCTCTCTCTCTCTCTCTCTCTCTCTCTCTCTCTCTTTTCTGAGACAGGTTTTCACAGTGTAGCCCTAGTTGTCCTGGAATTCACTCTGTAGACCAAGCTGGCCTCAAACTCAC